ATAAAATTTTTAAAAGTTGAAAACAAGTGGTTTTTTCATTTTTTCGGTCAGTTTCTTTTGCCATTAAGTCGATTTTTTTTTAATAAAAGCAATATTTTTATCATTTAATGGCAGAATATGAGTTGGTTTGTGTTGAACAAATAAAATTTTATAAAAATATTACATAAATAATCTAGTTTAATTATCACTATCAACAAGTAGGTTGGAATAATTATGATGTTCTTCACTTAAATAAGAGTTAAGTTCTTGTCTAAATTAAAATACTCGTACTAGCTAGTACGTTATATCWTTTGAATTTTGATAGTCATCTAGAATTAAAATAAAATAGTAATGCAGTATAGGCTCTGCTCTTTTTTTTTCTCAAAACTTTTTAACTCTATACGGCCTATATGTTGAGCTACCACAGAATAAATTATATGTAGCTATACAACTAACTCGTGTATTGAGTTATGTTGAAAAAAGAAAAGTGAACCTACTACAACTTAGCATTAATGACCATAGAATCATAGTGTCGACACTTAATATTTATTTCCAACCCGTAATATAAGTATGATGATTAAATAATATATAAAAACTATCGACAGTTTTTATCAACCTTATAACCAACGAGGTACAGCGGTTATACACCGTATGACAAAAACATATTTTAATATTTAATATTTTCTAATATGGATTTTTTATTTACTTTTTTTATGACATTGAAATTAAAATACTTAGTTGTGTCTGGGTCGGCCCATAATAGTGTCGGACCTGAGGACCCCCCCTCTACCCCTCTTAGTACAGACCTAAGCACCTATACTCGTATTGTCAATAGGACATACGCAATCCGATTATCTACGACTATTTCAGAAAAAAAATCCAGAAACCTCACTTTCGCGGTATATATAGTAGGCAACAGGCATTATGCAATATACACTTCAATTTAAAATACAATTAAAATTTTTTTTAGGTATTTGGGTAATTTAAAATATTATTCCTCCATAATATTGTATACTAATTCGATTTTAATTTGTAAAGAAGTACTGTACTTATAGCTTATAGTTTATTAGTACATAAAGTGGCTTATTTACAAGGAGAGGGTAAAGAGGTACTGACTACTGGGTCCCCCTCAGAGCCAAAAAATACAAATTATTTAAATGTTCGTTTGGCGAGGTTAGCAATAGTATAGAAATTCTATACATTGGCATATCATTATRACGACGGTAAAGTGAGATAAAGGCAAGATACCTACCCGTATATTTTTGTAAAGATTTTATCGTCTTTATCGTACGGAAAAACCAATTATGGATGGATTATAATGTATAGCAAACTATAGGTTTAGGTATATAAAATCTAATTGTGTTCCAGATAATACATATTTCGTATTCGTTAGTTTCATATTGCTTCAAGAGTAATAGGTACTGCTATTATAGTGCTATGTATATACTACCGTATTTTAAACCACAGAAACCCACTCATACAAGATAATATCTCTTCCTCGACTATCTCTGGAAATCCTCCCAAACGGCTAAAGCGCAAGTGGCGTAGAAATCTACTGACAAACTAATTCAGTTTTAATATTCATGTTTTTTTTTTATAGTATCTCCATTGGGAGTCATCTACACTCTGTTATCTTTATCTATTTAAAAAAAAAAAATTATTACCATCTATTATTGTTCTTATATTTTCAAATTGAATAAAACATTGTAAAATAAAAAATAAATATAGGTACCTATACATTTTATACCAGAAAAAGTCAACTACAGTGATCGCGTGTTTTTGTCAATATTAAGTAAGCATACAATAATTTACTTTTACTATATAGCCAAGCATACTTCACAATATCTGAGGTAATATAATATAATAAAATAAAGACATTTAAATTACAAAATTAATGTTAATGGCTCTTTTATTTTAGAAAAGACTAAATGGATTGACGATTTTAAACATTCACAGAGAAGTTGATGAAGTGATTGATGAGTTATAAAAAAATAGCGAGACAACWAGAATTTATTTTATAAAATCGACTTTTGAAATACACCGAAATATAATACACATATAATATAACATAATGTCTTAGCACTCTTAGCTATCATATACATAATATATTATATTTTAATTTATTCTGCAGAAAAATGTCTAGGTAATATGGATTATAAACTAAGGACTCCACTCCCCCCCCCAAAAAAAAAAAATTTGAAAATACGCCACTGGTTTATACCAAATATACCAATAGTATACTAACTACAATAGACCATTATAATTTACAGTTCWATAGTAGCATAAATCATAAATGTACAATAGGTACTTAACTTGTACAATATAATCTTCTTATTTTAGGCATTTAGGCAGGTACACTAGGTAGTATCGTCATTCGTCGTAACCTGTGGCCTACCGTGGGTGGAGGCACTTACGAGTTATTACGATTGTACGTAAGAAAGAAAACCCGTCACCCGGTGCGTGGTCACACTGCGGTCGCTGATTTTTCGTCGC